AGGTTGGCAACGATGCTCCACATGTTTGGACATCTTTCTATTAGCTGTAATACCTGTATGGCCACAAGGCCGCAATAATCACTCTGATTTCTGTCGCTATATTGTGTATTGTATCTATACTGGAATATATCTATAGTATATTTTGCATCTCAATAGTTACCAATTATAAATTTGTTGTCCTCGTATTATTTACTTACGTATCAGGGGAGACAATTAGTAGAGGTGAGTAATCATCTGTTTTGTCTCCCCTTCCATATTATAAATGGAGATGTTTAATAAAGAAATAAGTCATTATGCAGCACAGTGTAGTATTTTATCATCACCTGGCAGTGCCTAGTGGCTAAAACACTGATAATAAGAGTTCGGAGATCTCATACCTCCATGAAATATGGGCCTAATATGTAAATTCAAATCTCTTCTTTTATTATGCAAATGACCTCACATTAACATAATAAATGCACCCTGATGTTAAGTACAAAATTCACATCATTTACCACTAAGGAGTCATAGAATTTTCAGATTAATAATGCAAATTAGGTCCGTATTTGCATAATTGGTATCTGGTGATATTCCTCCTGCCATAGATTATAAATAATACATGTACCAAAGTCACATGATGTAAAACACTGGAATTACATAATTTCCTCAATTATTATGCAAATAAAGTCATCATTTGCATAATTTGCATCCAATAAATGTAGATCTCTGTCTAAGCTACCCACATACCAAAAATCATAAAAATACATTGTTCCTTTGTGAATTTATCTGCTCTGAAAGGTTTCGCCAGAAACCCCTTTGCAGTTTAAGAACAAGCCGCTAGGGGGACCAAACCCACACCTCTTATTACTGGCAGGAAAAGCTATCCACCGCTCAAAAATCAAGACCATAGCATGCCCAGGACAAAAGATACAAAAAAACGGAAGTTCTGCTGCAGAACCAAGGTCAGCCACCAGGAGGCCCAAAATTGACCTTGACCTTTGCCTACCCAACACCTACCCACATACCAAATATCATTACAATCCATCCAAATGCTCAAAAGTTATGCTGGCTACAAATGTGCGGAAACACAAACACACAGACACACACACAGACAGGGCAAAGACAATACCTCCATTTTTCACGGAGGTAAAAAGTTTTGTTGACCTCGAAGAACTTTAGGTTCAGATGTTGACTGCATCAGAGCCAACAGAGATATTCTAGCACAGCCCATTTTTCAGAATGAAAAGTATCTAATACCCAAAATGTTTTCTATCAACTAGCTGAATTAGTAAAGTAAAACCATGGACGAAGCATGGATGACAAAGTATCAAACTGTGCACGCAAGTGCCAACCTTAAGTAATAGCTAATATTTATCTCTTACTATCTAAATTCTGTCTTGTTACACTCACATATTCATCTGCAGAGGACAGAGTGACCAAGCCGCCACCACCCTGTTGGCAGATCACTTGTGCATCGTCCTTGGTCTCTAGGGCATCCTCTTCATAATGATAGCAGGAATCTCCAAGGGACATATCTGCATCATCCTCACACACTGAACAGATAAAAACAAGAAGCTGTTGTCATGAACCAGACCCAATTGTAATATCTTGTACATTTGCTATTTACTGGCTTACCAGGCTTAAAACACCCACTTTTTTGCCTAAGTTGCAAGCAGAAAAAGACTATGATCAGAATACTATCAAATCAAAATACTGAAATGTAGTTATGTAAAATATAGCATTATACTAAAGCTAGTCTTGTACTATAGCATAAAAAGTGTTTTAGATACGTTTTGTCGAATTGCAAGTAACCAAAGATATGACTGAAAATAAAGAATACAGAAAAGTATTTCCACATCTGAGACATCGAGCCAATTTTGTTTAGCAAGTATCTTGATCTATAATGTGCTAGGTTAAAAACAACAATTTCTTTCAACTTATTCATCAAAATACCATCTGCGTCATGTTTAATACATCTATTCCATTATATGAGTCATTCAATAAACAATATAAAGACAATTTTACCTGTAGGGGGGCAGTGCGTATCTATCCATTCCCCATATTCACAAAAAGGTTGACATATTGTAGTCGGTGCTAACGTGGTGGTTGTGGGAGGTGCAGTAGTGGTTGTAGGTGGTGCAGTAGTGGTTGTAGGTGGTGCTGTAGTGGTTGTAGGTGGTGCTGTAGTGGTTGTTGGTGGAGGTGGTGCTTCAGTTGTTGTTGTTGGTGGAGGTGGTGCTTCAGTTGTGGTTGTTGGTGGAGGTGGTGCTTCAGTTGTGGTTGTTGGTGGAGGTGGTGCTTCAGTTGTTGTTGTTGGTGGAGGTGGTGCTTCAGTTGTGGTTGTTGGTGGAGGTGGTGCTTCAGTTGTGGTTGTTGGTGGAGGTGGTGCTTCAGTTGTGGTTGTTGGTGGCGCTGTAGTGGTTGTGGGTGGTGCTGTAGTGGTTGTGGGTGGTGCTGTAGTGGTAGTGGGTGGTGCAGTAGTTGTTGTTGGTGGTGCTTCAGTTGTTGTTGGTCCAGGCGTCGTACAAATGTGCATCTCATAGCAACATTTGTACCTGACTTGATAGTTGTGACAGCTGTATGTATACATTTTAACAGACAAAAAGAGGAGTGTTTCTTGTTCCATTTGAACGCTAAATTGTTTTAATGACCAATTAATTCATAAGAAAACCTACTGGATCTCTGTTTAAAACACGTAATCTCATAATGCTAAAATTGTAACATTTACTCATTGTAACAATTGTTTTCTTTTGACACAAAGAATTTTAAACCGTGAGCTGTACAGAAACATACTGCCGATTGCTAAAATTATACGGCTAAAAAGACTACGTTTTGTAGGCCGCTGTTGGAGGAAAAAGGATGAGGTAGTACACAAATTCTTACTGTGGAACACGTCATGGAAAGAGAAGTCGTGGAAGACCACAATTGCCTCACATAAAACTAGAAGCTGACAGTGGAATGACGCTAAGTCAACTGCCTGTTGCGATGGAGGAGGAGAGAAATGGAAACAGCCATGGAGAGACTCCGAGTGAGCTCGACGGAGTGAGTGAGTGAGTGAGTGTGTGAGTGAGTAAGTGATTGAGTGAGTGAGTGAGTGTGTGAGTGAGTAAGTGTGTGAGTTAGTGAGTGAGTTAGTGAGTGAGCGAGTGTGTGAGTGAGTGTGTGTGAGTGAGTGAGTGTGTGAGTGAGTGAGTTAGTGAGTGAGTTAGTGAGTGAGCGAGTGTGTGAGTGAGTGAGTGAGTTAGTGAGTTAGTGAGTGATTGAGTGAGTGAGTGAGTAACAATTGTTGGCCGACTGATAAAACTGGCGACACGTACTTGTAGTCACATTGAGCACCGAAAGCTAAGGTACACAGTGTGCCATCTGGTCCTTCTTGCCCGTCTTCCAGTAAGTCGCCTGTTTGCAGGTTTAGACACTCAATGTCCATGGGATAGTCACAGAGGTCGTAGCCCGCTTCTCGTGCTGCCTCATCAGTCTCATCCTCTGCACCCGGTGCTGCAATAAAAAAAAAACACACACAACCATTAAAAAGAAAAATATCTAAGTAACGAAAATACGAGGGTGAGAAATGCTGTCACAAGACTTAGAATAAGCTGCCACAGATTACATATTGAATATTGTAACTTGAACAAAATAGAAGACGAATGTGAACTGTTTAGCAAATAGAGAAATGATCTGTATATGGTTGTACAACACCTATTCCCCTATTTCATGCATTTAAGTAGTGTAGAAATTTGCGCATTTGAATCAGTATGTCATACTTTATGGATTTTAAAACTGCAGAAACAAACCCCGAGATTAATATTAGTCCTTTATTTTCTAGGTGGTACCCTAAAAATCAATCCAGGTCCTCCCAGTAACGCTTTTTTGTCAGAATTTGGGGCATTTTTGCTCCATGGATGTCTATATACATTGGGACAGTGTTGTTTGAGCTTAGTATGTTGATAAGTAGCTAGAATATTGACTTTAAAAAAGATGCCCTAAAAACTGCACTAGCCTTTAAATCATTTGCTGGAAATTAAGTCAAATCGTGATTTGATACAACGGAGATAGAGTTTCATCTAATTTTACAATTCACTCTATAAATAACGTCCTCATCCTAAATCACGTTTTTAGACTTTTCGATACAAACTAAAATAATTCTTTTTGTATTCTAAATTTGTTACATTTCAAAGTAATTTTTTTTTACATTTCAACATCAACTAATTTATTTGTATATTGTTTTTTCTGTTGTATTGATTATATTTGTATCTTGTATGTTGTAGGGGAGAGTCTAATAAAAAAAATGAATGTTTATTAATTAAAGGAAAATATTAGATGAGAGTATGACAAATCATTGAGAGGTGTGAAAGCATTAGATCAACATACACACTGAATGCACTGTCTTGTCTCTTACACCAACAGATTCGGTTATTTACTTTCCTTAGTGTCCCCTCATTCAGTTACCCTTGTTTTTATTTGTACCGGTCACTTGTTTTGTAATTAACACATGTGCACCTGCTAGTAATCCAATGTAAATTGGGCTTAGCAGTACTTAAGATGATGAAGATGACATACTTCCTGTGTTTTCGCAAAGGACACCATATGCTACATCACAAGATGAAGCCATGAGCTGTCCGTTCATCATTACCAGGCACTTCTCAGTAGGACTACCGTCTGGTGGATTTCTAAACAAAGATTTAAAAAAAAATTACGGTTCTCAGTGGCCAATATGAGATGTTGTCACATCGGCGCACCAAATCCGTAAGGTGTTTTTGGCACCCTGACAGACAGATTAGCCTAAGAGGCTCGGTGGGCGTCACTCCACCGTATAGGTGGGGAAGTCGTGTAAAGTGCCTTTCCCAAGGGCACAACGTCGGGCCACGGTGAGTATCGAACCCGGGACCTCTCGGTTCCGAGTCCAACGCTCTAACCGTTGTGCCACCGACGCCACATAACAAAGATTTAGGGTCGCTTTAACTACAACAACAATAAATCTTTATTACATATATGATGTTACATGTATATGAATAATATACTACTTAATATAATATAAAAAAATAACATAGTAATAGGATAAAAGAATAAGTCTAAGGTCGACATTCTATCTAATCTAGAAGGAGATACACTATGCACACACATTTTGTTTGGGCATATAAAAAGTCATGTTGAATTAGAATGGTATGTAGCTCTTCATAAGCTAAATCTGTATCGAGATCGCTCACTTCACTAGCTTTCCTTAGGTACCTCCTAAAATAAAATCAACATTGATAGGAGATGTTAACTTACAGTGCGTCCAACTCAACAGCGGGGGTTCCGTCTTCCAAAAGCCAGTCTTGGTGTGTTTCTGACCAGTATGCATTCACAAAGAATGTTTCACTTCCAAACTGGTCCATTATATATCCCTATGACCGAAGGCAATACAGATAATCATATTCTTTTCATGCAAATACACACACACACACAAACACACACACACACACACACACACACACACACACACACACACACACATATATATATTACAAGTGTGTGTGTATGTGTGTGTGTATATATTTGTGTGTGTGTGTGTGTACACGAAGATAATAAGTTAAACTTTAACTAAACTTCATTCTATTTTCCACTTGAAAAAAAAGTACAACATATTCTTCGAAAATGTTCTGCGTCAGCGTTTTTAAAATAATACCTCAATTTCTCTTCCAGCAGTGTTCAAAATAGCAACATGAGCCAGTCTTATTTTGGTTTACATTTCGTCTACTTACAATTTCATCGGAACTTGATGGAGTCATCAATATGCCGCCGTTAGCATCGCAGTAGATTCTCGCAGCGTTGTGAGTATATGTGTCTGGTCCGGTCTGATAGCAGGATAGCCCAAGGGAATGTGTCTCGTCATGGTGACACACTGTGTAATAAAAACATTGAATTATTTATTCATTTATTTATGACGATTTACCACATTTGTGGTAGGATTGACATAACTGGTGACTATCACCTTTTCAAAGATGTCAAACCTGAGACCAGACTGTAATGTTTGAACCACTCACACCGGGAAGGTCCCCTACTCTTTTCGATAAGTGTGGTGGGTTCTTTAACGTGCGTGGGGTGTTACTCTCCCAAACACGGGACCTCCATTTAACGTCCTATCCGAGGGACGTCCCTAGCCGAAGCTAGGTACTCATTTTCACCTGAGTGAAGTGAGGAAAGTCGTGTAAAGTACCTTTCCCGAGGGTACAACGTCGCGGCGCATGTTCGGACTTGTTCGGGTACGACCCGGAATCGAACCCGGGTCTCCCCGTTTCATAGTCCAGTGATGTACCACTACACACGTAAATTAGTAAATGTTATCTACATTTCATCCGCAGCAACAACAAGCCAATCAAAATAAATTACACCTGATTCACTACAGACATGTACATATACATGTACATCATTCAATCATTCAATTTGTTAAATGCTCCGCAAATGATTTGACTAAAATGCAGCAGAATAACTCACAGCTTGTATGCTTTAACCGCTTTTCGTGGACCGAGCCTGCTTTTAGACATTATCTAACATTCCATCGATTTTTAGACCATATGATTGTATGTAGGTTGTGTATGTTAATAAAAATGAATATGGTAACAACCAACCTGTTGGAGGACAGTGGAGATCTATCCATTCAGACCATGGACAATAAGGTGCACATATCGTTGTAGGTGGTGGTGTAGTGGTTGTAGGTGGTGGTGTAGTGGTCGTAGGTGGTGGTGTAGTGGTCGTAGGTGGTGGTGTAGTGGTTGTAGGTGGTGGTGTAGTGGTTGTTGGCGGTGCTGTAGTGGTTGTAGGTGGTGGTGTAGTGGTTGTAGGTGGTGGTGTAGTGGTCGTGGGTGGTGCTGTAGTGGTTGTGGGTGGTGCTGTAGTGGTTGTCGGTCCAGGTGTTGTACATATGTGCATGTCATAGCAACACTTGTACCGTACTTCATAGTTGTCACAGCTGTAATTAGAGAAGGAATAATCATTATTTTGTTTGAAAGCAACAGTATCACAGAAGGTCTCTAAAGATCTGACTACCAGTTCAGGAATGGTCCAAATGTATAATTATGTATAATGGTCCAATGTGTAATGTATAATCATGTCTAATGATCCAAAAGGTTATGTATAATTATGTAAAATGATCCGAAAGGTTTCGTATAATAAAGGGTTATTGCATTGCCCCGAGGTGTTTATTTTTTATTTTATTCACATGGATTTTTGAGCATTGGATTGGAAGCACTTGTTGTGCTTATGTAAATCCGCTGCTCATAAAACATAATACAAATGTAAACAAATGACATAAAGTATAGCATTAACATAAAATGAAAGTGGCTGGCGCACCAATACCTATAGCATAACATTATTGAGATTGGTCAAATCTCCCAGAGTGGTGGATATAGTTAAACACAATATCAAAGATACGGCAGTTGGTAGGGTATGGGAGGGAGGGGCTACCTGTAAGAAGTAAAGTACATAATGTGGCGTCGTTTACGTTGAGTGGGTCGGAAGGAAGTATGTTTTCAAGATGAAGGCAAGATATGGATAACAACATTTTGGTCCTTTGGCCCGAGGTGTTTATGGCGAGATATAACCCTAACTGACACAGTTACTCCAATACGTTGTTTAATAGTTTTTAGTCGTAACCCTGCTGTTATTGCCATGTCTTCAGTCTGTATAATCAATGGTAAGGTAAACAAAGTGGTCGGTTATTCTAATAACCGACCACTTTTGATGTTACGGCCTGATGCCTGATGGGAAATGGAGCCTTCTGATTGCTCGACGTCTCTCGGCTATACAATAAGTATGTATAATGGTCAAAGGATTGTATAATTATGTACAATGCCTAAAATAATAATGTATAATTATTCATAATCATAGTACAACTATGTATTATTGGACTATTCACATGGGACTAATCTACGCTTTCTGAATATTAATTACAATCTGATATGTTACCACAAGAAGTGGACAGTTGTGTTAAGCGTTTGGGCTTTAAAACGTTTTCTGTAATTATACCGCGGCTTCTTAATTCTATATTTCATGTTTGTATCACTGCCTCGATGTTTGGTTGTTCAATTCAATTACCTAAATGTCACACTTAAAGTATGCTAAAAATGGACATGAGAATATGCTTTAACACTGAAAAATATGCAATGGAAGGAACTAAGGTGATAAGGTACGTTACTGAATAAAAGAATAACCGAAGAACTTTTAATCTGGCGCATTCAATTTATTTATTTATTGAAACTGCCACAGAACATTACACTCAGACTCTCAAGGCAGCAAAGCTGATATTAGAGAGTCAACATATAAGGACAGAACACAAAGGGCACATAATTTCAATACAATATGAAATACAAGAACAATCATAACCTAAACTTAACCTATATCAATCTGATTATTTAAGTACGCATTCAATACTCACCCATACTGACACTGGGCGCCGGTTTCCAAGTCGCATAGAGTGCCATCTTGTCCTGTTGTTCCATTAACCAGCACTTCGCCAGTGCGCAGGTTACGGCATTCGATCTCCATGGGATAGTCACAGATATCGTACCCTGCCTCTTGTGCAGCGTCAACATTCTCATCCTCGGCACCCGGCGCTGCCAGGTTCAACAAGAACGTGTTAATAACATTTCAGTTTCAGTTTCAGTTTATTTATTTAACCAGAAGATACACTCAGGTCATTTGACCTGCTTTTCAGGTAGATCTGGGTACAATAAAAATGCAGAAACAATACAATGATAACAACACAGTACATAGCACATAATAGCCATACAGCAGTACAAATACAATATAATTACAATGAGTTTTTGAAGGCCGTTACAGTTAAGAGCTTTCTCTGTTCTATCGTGAGCTGGTTCCACAACACTGGACCCTGGTACTGCAGGCTCCCTTTTGTATGCGTTAATGTTTGCCGGTGGAACAACCAGCATGTGAGGGTCCCAATTTGCACATTAAAGGCACCCAATGCGATTTCAGGGCAGCAAAACTGGAAATATTATGAATAAGTCAATCTTTTCTGATACTGACACATACTGCTTTTCATTAGCATATTTCAATCAGTATTTCATGCTTTGGGCATTTCAAACTACAGAAACAAGCACCAAGATGAGTCTTTTATTTCCTGGGTGATACCCTAGAAATCAGCCCAGAGCCCTTCCAGTAGTAACCATTTTCCGTTAGAATTTGGGGTATTTTGCTCCATGAGGGTCAATATACATTGGGATAGTGTGGTTTCAACTCAGAATGAAGATAAATGACTAGCTTTGAAAAATCGGGTTTCCAAGCCCTAAAAATTGCACTGGAGGCCTTTAACAGTGTTTATCAGTGTTTGGATACAGTATTTGCCATTAAGTGTTTTTCCCAAAAAGGCACAACATCGAGCATGTCTGGGGATCGAACCCGGGACCTCTTGGTTCCGAGCCGAACGCTCTGACCACGCAATGCTACCGTTCGTTTATTTGCTGGATATGAAATGCACATTTGATTTGATAGTGATACCTTTCCGACTTTAAAATCTCTTCTTAAAACTTCAATATCTAAACGGCAATTGTAGTCGACTATATGTTACAGGTAAGAAATGAATAACGTTATGCAATATCAAATGAAATTATGTTATTTCTAATAAACAAAATAATGATGCCATTGCCATGCATTAAAACATCTATAAAACTAGGTTTTCAAGAAGTATTATGAGAAACCTACTTCCGGGGTTTTCGCAAACGAATTGATATGCGGTGTCACAGGATGTAGGGGTGAATTGTCCATTCATCGATACCAGGCATTTTTCAGTAGAGGTACCATCTGGTACATTTCTAAACAAAAGAAAGCCAGTCAATAATAAACATCTGCTTTAGAGCTGTACATACGAAAATCAAATTTAAAATTGGAACTAGAACCTATATACTTTTATCCATTTCGACCTGTACCTGCAGATTGGTATTATAAACATATGAATAGTGTTTGAATGAATGAATATCGACATTTCTTGCGTATTGAATTTTCTATTCTATATTGTCACAATAAATTTGACCTTGTTCATCTCTGAGATTTACTATATGTATGTCCAGGAGCATTGACAAATATACAAATTTTTGTGAATATTTTTTCCTACTTGTACAGGATTCATTGATACCTTGTGTGCTACATAACGTCATGATCAATGTAGAATGGTGTTGCGTCATGATTCTGCATAGCGATCTTTAAATCCTATAGTTTTTATCTTCTTGTTTCAATTCATAATTAACACGTGTCATTTAAATCTTCACCATACCGTAAAATCCCAAGATCATCTCAACATCAGAGATTTAAACATTTTGACGGAATTGAAATCTTACAGTGGGTCTAACTCCACAGCTGGGGTTCCGTCGGGCAAAAGCCAGGCGTTGTCTGTTTCTGACCAGTATACATTCACTAAGAATGTGTCACCTCCAAACTGGTCCATTAAATATCCCTATAACAAAAGACAATAAAGTTAAACATATATTTTTCCATATGTGTAATATGCCGTTATATACCGTTGGGTATTTGTTTATTTGTTTATTGGGATTTTCCACAAAGTGAAAGGGAAGTCAAAACAGGTGCATATATATGCACCTTTACAAGTTGCTCTCCCATACAATAAGCACACCAACAAAACTTGCATAGTCAAAGGCAGCAATATATAAAAATACACAAAGCAAGCAGAAATATAGTAAGCTAAGCATAAATCAAATATATCTAGTAATAAGTGGGAATAAGTCATGTTGAAATAAGATCCTAGTGAGGTCTTGAGGCAATGCAAGAACTACACCCATGAGAAGAGGTCCAAGTACATGGGAGGTCAGGACTGTAGTGTGCGTTGAATCTGTTGTAAGTGGCCTTGAGTAGTTTGTGTTTAAATGATGTAATGTCAGGGTAGGGCATGTAGCAAGGCTACATGACAACAACTTGGCAATAAGAGCCACTGAGTGACTATAGGAGAGTGGAGGAGATGCAGCGGATGACCCTGTGTAAGATGGAGAGACAATCTTGTTTGTGAATAGTTTCATCAGGTTGAATACACCGAGTAAAGAGACTCTTTTTATACAAACAAGTCTTTTATTCAACCGACGTTGCACTACAGCACAGGTGTCGCTGACCGCCTTGTAGATACATTAACCTGTAATCACAAGTATGTGTAAATATGTCAATATTGTATGTTTGGGAAATACATCTATAGCGGCGACACCTGTGCTGCAGTGCAATGTGAACTAGTCAGAATTGCCCTGAGGAAGGTGACATATGGTCACGGCTGAATAAAAGACTTGGTTGTGTAAAACGAGTCTCTTTACTCGACAATCTGGTTGTCTTGGGCCCTACATGTATAAAAAAAAGACTGGCGTCACTCGAGGGAAGGGTTCCTCCGTAGGATTGAAGACTCCCTGGAATGATAATGACGTACATGTAATCCCATTTTATCTGATGCAATCTAAAATACACAGCAAAATCCTTTCAAAATATTCTGCGTCACTGTTAAATGGTAACATTTGATACTTCCTTGCAAACATGAGCCAATAGTATTGTGGTTTGCTTACCACTTCATCCGAATTTGACGGAATGACCAAGACGCCACCATTTTGCTCACAGTATATTTTTGCAGTGTAATAAGTTCTGTCGTCTGGTCCAGTCAGATAGCAGGACAATCCAACGGAATGGTCTTCCCCATAATGGCACTCTGGATGGTAAAAAGACAACGCATTAATTTACATGTACATACTTGCCAGGCAACAATAAAAAAAAGTCTAAACCTAGAAAGGTAACAAAGCAAATGGATAATGCTTGTTAACCTTCAAATGGTCTAGCCTTACAAGGTACTGCTCTGTTTAATCTTACTCAAACACATTCCTGTGTATATGGTAACCTGATCCTTAGCTTGCTACACCATGTAATCCAACACCACACTAGCGTCTGCGACAATACTAGTTACAATGGTAACAGCTGCATGTGTTTGTTTGTTTGTTTGTTTGTTTATTTAAATGCAACAGTGCATAACAAGTGGCAACCAGGCAGCAACAAGGCTGGTAGCGGCTACCACTGACACATAAATGCATAAATACAAAGTACAGTATAACTTAAATACAATGTCACTTAATACATACAAATTCAATTCAATATTTACAATAGCAATAAACATACAAAGTACATACAAATTCAATCAATACATAATTGATCAATGATCAATCAATGATAAAAACCTACATACTCTACCTCTTTGCATTGGCTTAAAGACCTGCTTTGAAAACATCTTTGCATGTAAATTGTGTAAATTGTAAAATGATATGAAAACAAAATGACCAACCTGTTGGGGGGCAGTGCAGATCTATCCAGGGAGACCATTGACAATCAGGTGCACATATTGTGGTGGGAGGAGGACCAGCTGTAGTTGTTGGTGGTGGAGGTGGAGGTGGTGGA